GGGGGCGGGGGACCAGCTGGAGAGCAGACTGACAGAAAGATTACCAACAACAAAAAGAAAGAGCCAGAATGATGGCTCAAATCAGCCAGGAAAAGAAATCTGGTTGGGAAGAGACAGCAGGAGGTAGAGCCTGGAGCAGGGAGGTAAGGCCGACAGGGCTCCCGCTGGTCCTGCGGGAGGTAAATCCCGTGTGGGGATCCCACGGTGGTTGGCTGCAGCTGGGAAAGGTACATGGGACCTGTTGCAGACAGTGAATGACTGGCTTCGGTGTTCCCCCAGCAGGCTGACTCAGAAGCTGCTGGGGGCTTCACAAAGCTGGAAGGGATGGTTGTGGTGGGGGACAGGCATGGACAGGAGGAACCCCACCTGTTCACCTAAGAGCCCAGGATACCCGCCACAGGGATGGCCTCCGGGGCTAGGCAGGGGGCTCTGCAGTGGAGAGAGGTAGGTGCACATCCTACCCCCTCTCAGCGTTATGTCCAGGAAAGTCAAGTTCTTAAAGGCTTATTTATGATGCTCCAGGTTAATTCTAACCTACTTCCTCTTTACGAGGTTGTGTATGTGTGTGTGTTTTTATAAAATTCACAAGTCAGCCCCTTGAGATAAAGGGGGCAGAGCAGGGTGGGCAGTGCAAAGAGGGGCTCTGATTGCCCTGTTTTCTCTTTTCTTCCAGTGCGACGTAGCTGAGCTCCAGCTGAACCACACAGGTGAAATGGGTAAACAGGGTAAAGTGTGAGTGTGTCTCTGTGTGAGTGCATGCGTGTGTGTGTGTGTGTGTGTGAGAGAGAGAGAGAGAGAGAGAGAGAGAGAGAGAGAGAATGAGAAAGAAAGGGAGAGAGAGAAGAAGGAAGGAATGAGGGAGGGAGGGAGAGAGAAAGAAAGAAGAAAGAAAGAAAGAAAGAAAGAAAGAAAGAAAGAAAGAAAGAAAGAAAGAAAGAATTCACACCAGGAGAAAGGGAAAGAAAGAAAATAGGGGAGAGAGAAATAAGAAATAGAAAGGGAGAGGAAGAAAAAACGAGAACGACAACGAAAGAATGAAAGAGAAAGAGAGAGAGACGGGGCAGTGTGATCCTGGGTGTGTGCTGCCTCACTCTTTCCCTCTGTCCTTCACATTTTATCTTCTGCCATGAGAGAGCCCAAAACAATTAAAACCCACTAATAGCAATTGCTAGCATTCCTCCCTTCGTTCCACAAACAGCTGAGCACCTGCTGTGAGCCAGGCACTGTTCTGGGTGCCACCATAAGGAAGAGAACAGACAAAAAAGCCCTGCCTTTTCTTCTACTCCAGAAAAGATGTAGCGTGCCAAGGAAAGCACATGTAGGATGTTTCAAAGAAAAATCAAGTGGCCCCCCACTCAGGAGATGAGCGAGGGAGTTGTTAGGAGGTTTCCTCACACCCTCTCTGTAACCCTCCTCCTGCAAGCCCCAGCATTTTGAGGGCTGTATTCATTTCATTTTGTGGTGCAGGAACCCCTGTTCCTTTTTGTTCAGGCCATTTGCTGTCCAGGCTATGATAAGAGCACACCACACACTTACATTTTATTAGCTGTGTCCTCCCTCACCTGGGACTCTGGGGTCTCTCTCTATCTAGATCGGATATCATTGACATGTAACATATTAGTTCTGGGTATACACCATAATGATGCAATATTTGTATATGTTGTGATATGATCACCACAATAAGTCTAGTTAACATCCATCACCTCACATAGTTACCAATTATTTTTCTTGTGATGAGAACTTTTAAGATCTACTCTCTTAGCAATTTTTAAATAGACAATACAGTATTATTATATAAAAAGTAGAGGCCCAGTGCACAAATTCATGCACCAGTGGGGTCCCTCAGCCTGGTCTGTGGGATCGGACCAAAACTGGCTCTCTGGCATCACCTGAGGGGTCTTGGATTGTGAGAGGGTGCAGGCCAAGCTGAGGGACCCCACCGGTGCATGATCAGGTCCAGGGAGGGACACGGGAGATTGACCAACGAGGGAGGGACCGGATGACTAGACACTTAGCATATTAGGCTTTTATTATATAGGATATGTACATAGTTGCCATGCTATAATAAGATTCCCCGGACATTTTTTTAATATATATTTTATTGATTTTTTTTTTTTACAGAAAAGAAGGGAGAGGGATAGAGAGTTAGAAACATCGATGAGAGAGAAGCATTGATCAGCTGCCTCCTGCACACCCCCTACTGGGGATGTGCCCACAACCAAGGTACATGCCCTTGACTGGAATCGAACCTGGGCCCCTTCAGTCCCCAGGCCGATGCTCTATCCAGTGAGCCAAACCGGCTAGGGCCCCAGGACATTTTTATAATTGTAAGTTTGTACCTTTTAACTACCTTCCTTCATTTTGTACCCCCACCTCTGGTAACCACCAATTTATGAGTTCATTGGGTTTTTGTTTGTTTGTTTATTTTTAGATTCCATGTATAAGTGAGGTCGTATGATACTTGTCTTTGTCTGGCTCATTTTACTTAGCATAATGCCTTCAAGGTCCATCCATGTTGTCTCAAATGACAGGATTTCCTTCTCTTTTATGGCATAATAATATTCATGTGTGTGTGTGTGTGTGTGTGTGTGTGTGTGTGTGTGTGTAAATATGTGTATATATGATGTTTTAATCTATTCATCCATCAATAAGGGCCCATTCAGGAAGGCTGTACCCTCATGACCTAATCACTCCCAAAGGCCCCACCTCCTAAAATCATAACCTTGAGGATTAGGTTTCAACATAAAAATTTTGGACATTCAGTTGACAGCCCTCAGTTTCCCTAAACTGCCGTCCTTCCACCCCCAACCCTCTGCCTCCAGGACTGCGGCAGGACCCCAGGCTGCACTGGCAGGGGGGCCCAGCCCTGGGCCGCTCCTTCCTGCATGGACCACAGCTGGACAACGGGCAGCTACGTGTCCAGCGTGATGGCATCTATAGGCTGCACATCCAGGTGACACTAACCAACTGCTCCTCCTCAGTGAAGAACATTGTGTCCCGCAGGGCCGTCCTGGCGGTGGGCATCTGCTCCCCAGCGGCGCGCAGCGTTAGCCTGCTTCGTCTCAACTTCCACCTCAGCTGCACTGTCTCCTCCCAGCGCTTGACGTACCTGGCCCACGGGGACACCCTCTGCACCAACCTTACTCTGCCTCTGCTGCCATCCCAAAATTCTGATGAGACTTTTTTTGGGGTTCAGTGGGTGCACCACTGAATGCTATACCTCCTCACTCAGATTTTTGGGAGAGATTGTTTTTTCCGTTCGTTGTTTAACACACTATTAAATATGATTTATAATAAAATATATACTTCGTTGCATGGTCCTTTCTTTCCTTAGCATTAACTCTATACTGTAAGGCCTCTTCATTATACAAACAGGTGGTGCCCCATCCTTCTAGGGCAGTGGTTCTCAACCTTGGCTGCACATTAGAATCACCTGGGAATCTTTTTGAAATCCTGATTCTAATGTGCAGCCAAGGTTGAGAACCACTGTTCTAGGGGCAAGCCCAGACATGGTTCGGCTTTCTTTCTAAAGACGTAATCTCGACTTCCAGGCTTAAATATAGGCGGAAACTAACACAGGAAACATGCTGTCATATTTGGTTTCTTGCTCAATGTCAGTGCTTATTCTATTGATTTTTGGTCTAACGGTTTAAAAAAAAAAAAAAAGCACGTTGCAGGAGCACAAGAGCAGCAGCTTTTCATTGACTGTAGGTGGCACTTGGGGTTTTTGTTTTGTTTTGTTTTAAATAAACTATGAATAAATGTCTTTCTTCCTGCTCTGCAAATTGAGATAGATGGTATTTTCACATTTCCCCCTTCATATCAAGAGCTTTCTTTGAAAACATTCCTGATCAGTGTCTGGTTATTTATTTACTTATTTTTTTTTTATCAACTGCTTTTCTTCCTTTCTGTGCCCCTCAGAGCCAGGAAGGACCTTTCCCAAGAATCATGCCCCACAACGAGACGGCAGGGGGTGATTGGCAACCATAGAGGCCACATTTGAGCAACAAGAAAGGTAGAAGAAGGAGCTCTTGGGCATTTTCTAGTTTAAGTTTGTATTTTGTCTAAGTGTAAGCATTGAAAGTCATCTTGAAGCACTGGGCTATCATCACTCTATTTTTTAATTTTTTTTTTTCATCCTCACATACTTTTTCCATTTATTTATTTATTTATTTTTAGAGAGAGAGTGGAAGAGAGAGGGAAACACAGAAACAGCGAAGGGAGAGAAACACATTGATTGGTTGCCTCCTGCACACGCTCCAACCAGGGCCTGGGCTGGGGAGGAACCTGCAACTGAGGTACGTACGTACGTGCCCGTGACCGAAATCGAACCTGGGTCCCTTTGGTCCGCAGGCCAACACTCTATCTACTGAGCCAAACTGCCTAGAACTACTCTATTTTTGTATCATGTTTGCAGAGACTCAAAGGTAATAAGTAAAATTTTTAAATGATTATGCAAAATAAAATTAAAAGTAATATGCCCATCTGGTGTGGCTCAGGAGGTCCTGGTTCAATTCCATGTTGGGGCACATGCCCGTGTTGCAGGCTCGATCCCCAGTGGAGGCCATGCAGGATGCAGCTAATCAATGATTCTCTCTCATTGATGTTCCAATCTCTTCCTCCCTCTCCCTTCCTCTCTGAAATAAATAAAAAAATTATATTTAAAAAAATTAAAAGCAATATGACAAATCCAGTTTGTATGATGATTCATTCTAAACCAAGATATGAAGATTGCCAACTCAGCAAATCAAAGGACTATGGAGAGTCAGGTGAAATTTGTTGTAACTGTCCACTGAAAAACAGAATCAACTAGGTATTCCGTCACTAAAAAGGATTCACTGGGATGGAGGGATTGTAGTCTAGTGTGTGGGCAGACATGGTGAGCCGCCTGCACACACTGAGCTGGACAAAGATGGAGAAGTACTTAAAGAAGGAAGTTCAGGTTACAGCCAGAGTTTTGTTGTGAGCACAGAGTTCTTCCTGTACAGTTCTCCCCATAACACAGTGTGCGAACTCCTCCCCTAAGCCCTAGCCCCTCCCACAGACCCTCCTGACTTACAATGTCCAGCTTCAAGTCTCTGTCATAATTTTTATCATAACCAATGGGCTTGTTAATTTTATGTAGTTGAGTTTCTACTTCCCCAGAGGACTTTATCCAAATGCAACAAATAGCCCAGCCGTCATGGCTCAGTGGTTGAGCATTGAACTATGAACTAGGAGGTCACGGTTCAATTCCAGGTCAGGGCACATGCCTGGGTTGTGGACTCAATCCCCAATGTGGAGCGTGCAGGAGGCAGCTGATCCATGATTCTCTCTCATCATTGATGTTTCTATCACTCTCTCCCTCTCCCTTCCTCTCTGAAATCAATAAAAGTATACTTTTAAAAATGCAACAAGTAGTGTTTGCATACACCTCCTTGTTCAGCAAGCAAATAAGAGCTATTCTGCTGTCTAGACACATTTTGGCTAAGAAGTCAAGTGATCTTTATTGGGTAGCCATTGCATTGGCAGTGGAATCAGCAATGTCTCCCAATGTCAAAGAGAGGTTTCTGTGCATATGTTCTTTGCACAGGAGGGGAAAATGCCCTTTCAAGGAGATAGGAGATAGAATCATGTTTTTCCTGGAAGTTCTCTCTCTTTCATCAATGTTTCTAACCTCTCCCTTCCTTTCTCTCTAAAATCAATAAAAACGTATTAAACATTTTTATTGGTGAACATAGGGCTGCCTCATCTATTTATATAAAAACCCTGGGTGTAATGTCACAACCGAGGCTCGACCAACCAGAAGGAAGTCAGTCCTGCAGAGGTCTTCTTGGAAATGGCTGCACGCTCCCCCAAGCTGTTTCCTGCGAGGGCAGCGAGGTTTGAGGCAGGAAACTGCCCTCGGAGCATGGCTGCACTGAGTCCTGGGTCCTCTTATCAACAGCTGCGCCCTCCCTGAGCTGTTTCCAGTAAGCGATGTTTGAGGCAGGAACCAGCCCTCGGAGCAGGGAGGCATATCTTTATAAAGTTTTAATACATTATATTAGAGGTCATGGTAGTACTGTTTTACCCACAGCGTCTACAGGAATTGCTGCAAATTTACTTCT